ATCAAAACACTGTCCCTCCTCTGGACATGTCCAAACACTTTCCCTTCTCTGGACATGTCCAAACACTGTCCCTCCTCTGGACATTATCAAACCACTGTCCCTCCTCTGGACATCTTCAAACCATCTCAGTTTGGCCTCTCTAATTTGCCACAAATAAAGATACAATTCTTTATTTGTATTTTTTGTACAGATTCTGAAAAGTGCTGATGTCCTTTAGTTCATGACAGCAGAGGCGAGCAGCAGAGGCGAGCAGCAGAGGCGAGCAGCAGACGTTCACTTCATGTATGAGTTTGAACCCAGTGATGGTCAGATGAAGCCTACACACCAGCTTCTGGAAAAGGTCTCCCACACACTGCTGGTGACTCCAGCTCTGGACTCGGGGCAGCAGAGCATCGTAGAAGTCTTTGTGGATCTCGTGAAGCTCGGGCACTTTGAAGAAGATCGTCTCTATCTGCTGGATCGTCAGCATCGGTTGGGAGGTTGTGGCTGCAGCTCTCAGAGGCTTCATGGGCTGGACAAAGAAACACACGACGATGATGTAAAAATTAAAAATCATGTTTCTAGTTTCTGCACTGTCACTTCAAAACAATACGTTTCTCAGCAGTATTCAAAAAGAGCATACGCCTTCTGAAAGATGCATCGTAAAATGAGTTTTTGTTTTATTGGACACACAGTCAGAAGAGCTGTTTTCATCCAGTCTTTTTCCTACAGGTCTGGTTCTCAGCAGGGTCTGAAGCTCATGGACACACAATATTAATTTGCAGCCCAGTAACTTTAAACTGGAGTCTCCACAGCATTAAATGGTTTTATATACCATGGATGATGATATTTCCTATTTAGTTTAATTTTAGTTTAGTTCATTTGTTATTTTCTGTTCGGCGTATTGTTTTTGTACTACTAGTGCTTAGCGTAGTTTTAGTTTATCGTTTTTCTTAGTTCATATCTTAGATCTTATTACTGCTTTTTTTTTTTTTTTACAATTTATACTTTTGTTGGACGTAACTGGGACCCTGTGTAAACAATTTTGTTCCACCAAATGTACCACATGTGGTGCGAATGACAAATAAAGAAACTTTGACTTTATTGTTTGTCATATGCAGGTTAACACAAGTCAACAATGCAATGAAATGTTCAGGATGAGAAGAACCGATTCAACTCGCTATAAAACATCTAAAAGCATGCAACAAAAGTACAAAACAAAGTACCAAAAGTGAAAAAGAAATATAATATTTATAAGGTCCAAAAGAAATATAGTAAACAACAACATGGTAGAATTCAATGGTGCAAGCAGGATGAATTAGTATAAATAAGTATATGTAGTATATTAGCTTAAATGCACATGATACATATTGTGCATAGCATATACTACAGGGGTTGTGTGACAGGTAGGGGCAGTGAGATGAATTGAATTATGACGGTAAGGTAGTGACATACATGATACAGCAGCAATAAACATATTAGGTATCACAGTATGTGGCCTGGTAATATATAATGTTATTATCAATTGTTCAGTAATCTGACAGCTTGTGGGTAATAACTGTCTTTGAGTCTTTTCATTTATTTGTAAATTTAAGCCGTCTGTGTTTTAATCTGGTCTTTAACAGAATGGTGACAAAAATTGTTTGCCAACAGTTGATCTTAATTATCTGTGAGTGTGAGACACCCCAGATTTTGTTTTGTACATTTAAAATCCCATTTGTTGTCGAGTAAAAAAAGTGAAATAAAGTCAAGAGGAGAAAAAAAACCTTCTCCATAACGCCTGCAGAGACTGGATCTGTTCTGTACCGATCGACTGGGTTTTGATCCGGCTACAAGTGATGATGAGCCAGGGAGGAGTTTTCTTTTTAATCGACCTGTAGAAATTGTGTACTAACTCCGCCCACTCGGCAGGCTGCTTCATCCACCGGCCTGCAGCGAAACTCAGGACTACTCTTGTTGGCTCATCACCTGTTAACTGGCAGGAGGCTAACCCTCCACCACATCTGGGGCCGAGATGTGGTGGAGGTAGGGCAGCCGACTGGAGACCAGAAAGTTGTAGGTTCAACTCCCAGTCATTCCCACGTGTCGTGGTGTCTCTGAGCAAGACACCTAATTGCTCCCGGGTGCTTACATAGCTGCCCACTGCTCCACCTGGATGTATCTCAGGAGGTGTGATGGGTTAAATGCAGAGAACTAATTTTGCCATGTATGGGAACACAATGATGACAAACTTCCCAAACGAAGTCAAACTAAAGATGATAGAATAAACTCCTCGAGCTAGAGGAAGGAAGCTGCTTCATTCTGCAGTTAGCTTTGTTAGCTGCTGGTCGTGTTCGCTCAGACAGACCTGCAGCCTGTGGTGGTGTGAGGTTAATCACTTTCAGCTCATCATGGCAGCTAAACAGTTACCCTCACTTTATAGACCAGACTTCTGGACCAGGAACCAGAACCTCACGAGACCCGAACTTCTTTTGAGCAGAAGTCTGACATATATTCATCATACCTTCCACTGTTTGAAAAGTCATGTTTCTGTCATCTTGTGTTTCTGTATCAAGAATGAACTGTAGTCAGAACCCAGAGAGGAGCAGCTAATTTAGGAGTTTATCTACCAGCTGCTTTGGGGTCTGAACTGAAGCACAGTAGTCCCTCACTACTTTGCGGTTCCTTTATCGCGGACTCGCTCTATCGCGGTTTTTCAAAATAAAATTGGACATGACACAATTGGCTGATTGATGGATGAGCCTCACGATCAGCATGGAATTTTTATTTAAAATAAATTATTTTAAATTATTTAGCACCTGATGCACCTTTGTGTAGCCCACAGCTACAGAAAAAGCTTCCTCCTGCACCTCTGTGCAGCCCTTACTGCAGGATAAAGAAATCATGACATGCTGTGATCTTTTAGAGCGTTTAGTTTAGAAACATTGTTTAGAATATTGCAAATGTGGGAAGTGTTTAAAACACCTTAATATCTATAGGTATATATAAATACAAAAATAAACTACTACTTACTACTTGTACTACTATTCCTACTTCGCAGTTTTTCACTTATCGCGGGTCTTCGGGGTACAGATCCCCCGTGATAAACAAGGGACAACTGTAATTCAATTTCTCTAAATGTTTTAAATTTCATGGGTGGACATGTTTTATTTTGTAATCACATATTAATTTATGAGGCTTTTGATTGAAGAACTTGTTTTAATTTAAAAAATATATATTATTTTGTCCTTTGTGCACCACAGGAGATGTCCTCTTGTTGTAAAAAAGTAAATGTACCGTAAAGTAACTGTACTTGTACTTAAATAAAATTTCACAGTAATTGTAGTTTTACTTGAGTGCATTATTTTAGTACTCCTTCCACCTCTGAGTGTATTACAATGACACCTAACATCTTATTTTTGTATGATTTTAATGCAACAAATTCTTTAATTCACAATTAGACTACAGTTAACAATAAGTCATTTGAAGACGCCAACTGTATAGAAAACAAACTATTATTTTATGTTAAATTAGTTGTTGTAATTTGGTTGGATGTGGTATTATGATCCAAACATGCATGCTAAAGTGATAGTGCAAACAACATTTGCATGAGACTGAACTGTAAACAAAGAGGAATATAACTAAAGTCTTGTTTGCTATAATAATAATTCACATATGGGCTTCCAACATACAGCAATTGTTTAAGAAAATGCCATTGAAGGAAAATTAATTTGTTCTTTCCTACTTACACTGCTAATCACTGCTATGACCCTAAAGCAGTGGTCCCCAAACTACGGCCCGAGGGCCAGATCCGGCCCCCGACCATATTTGGTCCGGCCCCCTGAACAATACCAGAGAGCATTTTTTAGAATTTTTTTCATATATGTGTATTTGTATTTGATAAGAAAGTTGGACTTTTGCAATAAAATGTTTCTTAGTTATGAACTATTTTCATTATTAAGTAATATAATACTATAATACATAAGTTAATAACTATTTCATACACGCATATAACGTAACATTCTGTTCCACCCTTCTGTGGTCTGTGCCCCTATCTGGCAACCCCCAGAAAAAAATTCTAAACCCGCCCCTCGCAAAGAGAGAACGGAATAATGGCGAAAAGATTAGGTAAGAGAAAAATTGATTCAGAATGCAGGGCATTTAACCTGCAGTGGACAAACAATTATTTTTTTGTTCAATGCAAAGAAAAGGCTGTCTGTTTCATCTGTCAAGAGGCGGTGGCAGTATTCAAAGAATATAATCTGCGGCGACACTATGAATCCCGCCACAAAGACACGTATGCTAGCTTGCAAGGCCAAATGCGAGCAGACAAACTCTCAAAGCTAAAAAGTGGACTGTTAGCTCAGCAGAATACATTTGTACACCAAGCTCAGCTGAACCAGTCATCTGTTCGGGCCAGCTTTCGGGTTGCTCAACTGATAGCAAGCAGCGGTAAACCTTTCACTGATGGAGAGTTTGTCAAGAAATGCATGAACGCTGTCGCGGAGGAGGTGTGTCCTGAGAAGAAAGATGTCTTTAATGCCGTGAGTCTATCAGCGAGTACAATCACCAGACGCATTGAAGAAATCGGGGGTAATGTATATGCCCAGCTGCAGCAGAAGACGAAAGAATTAGAATTTTTTTCATTAGCACTGGATGAGAGCACGGACGTGCAGGACACCGCGCAACTGCTCATTTTTGTTCGTGGAGTTAGTGCAAACTTTGAGATCTGCGAGGAGTTGGCAGCCCTCCAAAGTCTCAAAGGGACTACGACGGGGGAGGATATTTTCGGCAAAGTGTACCAAACCATGGAAGAGTTGGACCTGGACTGGTCAAAGCTGGCCAGCATCACAACTGACGGGGCTCCTAATATGGTGGGCATGTCTCGGCCCACAGTTCACACTGATGAACATACAAAGGTAAGCTCACTTTTCTGACTTGAATGAGTCATTCTGACTATAAAAAATATAATCATAATAACCCTCTCTGTCAATACCCCAGAGAGGGTTATTTGGTTATTGTTTATTTCACAAATAGTGTTAT